CCGAGCAGCAGCTCAGGCCACGTTGAGGCGCTTCAGAACAAAAACATCTAACACACCTGTTTATGTTGGAGAGCGAAGAAGACTCGTCTGGTTCTGATTGTCCCGTCTCTGCTCGGTCGGTCCGTTTTAATGAGCTGCTTGTTGTCTTTGAAAAGCTGATGTGCAGCCAGATGTTGCTCAGTGATTCATCTCCTCGGGGGGGGAGTGGGTGGGGGCTCAAGTCTTTCAAGGAGGACGAGAGTTTCGTTTACCAACATTCTTATGTTGCCTCCATTCTTTTACCTGGGTTGAGTTTTTTTCTCTTCTAAAGTCAAGCCGACCTTCAGGTTTGATTTGAGATCGTTTGCTACAGTTTAGTCGTAAAGCAGAGAACTTCGGCTGTTTGTTTACGGCTCTTAGCGGCTAAAAGGCGCCTGAAGGCTCATGTCTCGCAGGGTTGAGACAGTGACATCAGTTGCAGCGTCGCTCAGTCCTGACTGAGTCGGGGTCCGATGAGTCCCGGTGGGTTTCCTGCGTGCACGCCTGCACTCTCGGCCGCGCACATTATTTTTTCCACTCGCCTCCGTGAGGAGTGGGAGTTTTTGGACACTGATTCTCTGCAATTATAAATCTACAAATGCTGCATTTTAACTTAAATAAGTATTTTTCTTTTTATTACAAATACAAATATATAAATCAGTGTTTATGAAAGACTCTACGATAACATGCGTGTTTGATAATATCCCCCAAAGGGGTAGGCCTGTCACGATAACAAATTTTGCTGGGCGATTAATCGTCTCAGAAATTATTACGATTAACGATAATATTGTTTGAAATGTGACAATAACTAGTAATTATTGTCAAATTTAAGAAGAAATGCTGGTTAATTTGTTTTGTGTGTAGTACCTTTTTTTGACCACTGGATGGCAGTATGAGACTGAACTCAAGGATGGATAGTGAGGGAGCGAGCAGCGTGTTTCTTTAAGAAAAATGGAAGGGAGGCCTCTTGACGTGACGTGGGTTGTCTCTTGTTCCTGTTTTTCGGTTCTCAACTTAGCTGCTTTTAAGCTAACAGGCCGACCTTGTGGGGAAAAAACCTCCGTCTTGTCGAAGCTCCAAAATTCACGGTTGAAACCCGTGCCTTCGTGTAAAAAGTTGTTTTTCTTTGCAAAAAGAAGCCGAGAACTTGTTTACTGATTGTTTATTAAACTTTGTGTGAAAAATGCTATGCTGAAGAGACACCGATCGTCCGCCATTTTGAGAACTGAAGAGAGACAACCCATGTCACGTCAAGGGG